TTCTTATTTACAATTAAGTTAAGCGAGAAGGTAGTAAAAGTGCAAAAATATCCTGTTTTATTATTCATTATTGAGCTCATATGTATATTATTTTCTTTTAAAGTAAGTAAGTGGTCAGGCCATAAGTTGTTGCATGAAATAATTTTACCAAAAAGTCGTTTATAAATAGAAGCACAGATGACTCGTACGAACCAATCGGGTTTTTTAATATTTGAAAAATGTTTGACAATTAGGATGTACTTGGCTATACTGCTTTTATAAGGTGCAAATATATTTAAAAAATTGAGAAAACTCGCGTAATAACAATATTGTTGGTGGAAATATTAAATTTGAAATTAGATTGGACATATCGTTTTATTGCGAGGAAAAGTTAGTTGATTGTCGATTAAAAGCAAATTAAGCGAAAACAGCCATCTGGTGACATTTTTAAAACTTGTCCTGGAAAAAAATAATCGCAAATTCTCATCCATGAAAATTTTTCGTTTGTTTGTTTCATTTGCCAAGATACTGTCATAAAGTATAATTCTTACCAGTTTTTTTTTTAAGAGTCCTCACCATCACTGGTTAGACTCGCTCCACTGGCTTGTCGCATTGAGGCAAAATGCCAGGGAGTTCCTTGGCGATAAAAATATAGGTGAGTCGACAGAATCACCCGGATATTTGTACAGGTTTATTCCTCGAACCTCAGCATCGGCGCTCCCAATTGAGCAACAATCCACTGAACCATTCTGCCCCCAATTCTTACCAGTGAGAGAACATGAAACACGTAATTATTTTAAATAATTTTAATCTTCATGTTATTTATCACTCTTATTATTTTAACGCAAGAGTGTCCAACATCAAATACATAGTACATCTAGGTGCAAAAAATGAAAAAAATAAATCAAGAAATTTCATGTTTTTTTACTTTTTATTTCAGAAGGGAGAAAGGGAAATGGTATAATTGATCTTGTTTTTGCAATTAGTGCACTAATGGCTGGTTCCAATTTTTAGTAAGTTTTAAGACGGATATCGCATGTCACCTGGATTGGTCACGTTCTCTTTAGCCCTTTCTTCATTTCTTCTTCTTCCTTCTCACAATCTTTTTTCACGATTTTTGATCAACTCAATACCAATTAATTACATTTTTTTATATTTTTTTCTGCTATCTGAGAAAAAAATTATTTATTAATAAATTTAATGCAGAAAATTGATAAATTGTTAAATACATTTTTTTTATTTAAAAAATGGAAAATTGCACAGAAAATTTGTTCCTTTTTTATTAAAAGCGATTTTTAAATTAAAGTAATTAATTTGTTGCTATAGTTCACCATCTGGCTATTTAACTGGGCTTTATTTAACCAGCTAATTCGAAAGTTTACATCCTTTAAGTTCACTGCAGTCTGAGATTCGTCGAAAATATTTCGACATGATTATTGTATCATCATTTATTTTCTTTTTTTGGAGAATTTTTTCTTCACCAATAGCAGAATTTTTTCGTATAAACGTAATTTAATTGCATGACATTGGACGTGCCATTCACGACTAAGATACTTTTACTTTCCTCACTATTACTGACCCAAATCACAAAGCATAAGTATTTGATTCAAATGATTTTACGATAAGATCAGTTGTTCCCTTAAAGATAGCTTTCAGGTTTATCACTTTTGTAAAGAACTTATCGTTTAAGCAATGCAAACCAATTTTATTAACAAACAAAGTTTGTTGACTTATTACCTTTATTTTATATATATATAGGTATAGATACAAAAAGAGTATAAATATAAAAAGTTATCTTTACACTGAATGGCTCAGTGGGTTATTGCTCGATCGGGAGCGCCAATGCTGAGGCTCCCGCAAGAGTAAACCTATCCAAAAATCCGGGTGATGCTGGCAACTCACCTGTAGCTCTATCGCCAAGGGATCCCTGGCATATTGACAAGCTCAATGTGACAAGCCAGCGGAGCGAGTTTAACCAGTAATGATGAGGACTCTAAAAAAAAATCTATATATATATAGGTATAGATACGAAAAGAGTATAGATATAAAAAGTTGTCTTACACTGAGTGATCCTAAGGCACCTTGCGCTTTGATTTGATAGGAATGGATGACAATTATGACTGGAGATGATTCAAAAATTCTTTTAAAACGGAGAAAAGAAAAAATTCGTCTCGTAGGGGCTGAAAGGATTTTTCATCATTATTAAAATCAATCTGCCGTAACATGATGCTTTAAGATTTGATTTACTTCCAAAATTGAATGAGTTTTAATTCGTATTTGATTCGCAATTTGCAGACATTTTGTAACTTTTTGGCGTCTGCTATTGTGCTTTATATGATTTGATATAAATTATCTCGCTAAGGAATCGTTTTCTAAATTCTTTAATAATTGAAATGAAATTTTTAGGTGAAGTTTGTTCATGCATTATTTTCCCGAAGGAATTGCCTAGAAAGTAATTTTTCGTGATCTAATCGTTTCTTCTTTATTTTTTATTTACTATGATACATTTCCTCTCAAAATTTGGTACCTTAATTAAATAAGAGCAATAAATTCTGCAAATAGAGTGGAACTACGCTGGAATTCAGTAGCACTCATCCTATTTTCTAACTAAAACGGTTATTGTTTTTAAAGGAGCTCATTTTGAAAAACTGTTTTGAATCATTTCAGCCGGTGTTTTGCTCATCAGATATCTATTTTTGTTTAAGGGTGGTTTCATTTATTTTATCTTAAAAAATTTGTTAAAAATACGACAACATGTAAGTGTGATAACGGAAAAGAATGCTGACATAGTGAATTAACTCGATCCTACGCATTGGCTGTCCTTATGAATCAAGTTTTTTTTTGTGCCGATACTTAAACTTTCGTAAATTATGACTGATCCCTCTGAGGCAAATTTCTTATTTCGTTGGTTTTCCAGAATTCAATTTTACTTCATTTTTAATTAGAAGTTTCGCCAGATTAAAACGAATTTTGTCAGTATTTTTTAATAGCTCAATTTGTTTTCATACTGAAATGATATTGGCCAGGTGAGGTTAGAAATTATGAACAAACCTTCAGAATTCTCGCTGTGAATGTTTTTGGAGAAATTTGGCTGACAATTCTCTTTTAAAAATTGTTTTCGTCGCTTTGTATTTTTTTTCGTTTTAATTCGCGCAATATTCTTTAATTTTAATTTTTTCGTCTTCAATTTTTTAATATCGCGCATCATAAAATAAAATATTTTACTCGCATACAATTTTTTCTCACTTGAGGTGCCTTTCTTTCATGAAATTTTCGAAATTGCATTAGCCATCTCGATTCATCTCTTTTTTTTTTCATTGGCCTACCATATACTTGCAACTGTAAACCGTTAACAGAATAGAAAAAATAATTTCCGTTATACATAAGCTTAAGGCCAATAAGAGTCCAGGAAAAGATGGTCTTCGGGCTGAACTCTTCATATGTTACCCATCGTCCTTATAACGCACCTTCAAAAATGTACCTTCTGGTATGAAGAAAAAAATATTACCAGATAACTGCAGCAAAGTTATTCTACTCCCACTTCCCAAGAAACGTGACAAGACATATTACGACAATTATCGAGGAATGAGCCTACTAGATGTCTCAACGAAAATTTTTGCTTCCCTTCTACTAATTTGACTTATGGCAATGAGGGACAGGATGCTCCTTAATTAAGTTGGATTTAGACCAGGGTGCGGTTGTGCTAGCCAGATATTCCTCGCTAGAAAAGGCGTTGGAACATTAAATATCAATCCATCCTTACGTGTTTCATCGACTTTGCGGTTCCCTACGATTCAATTGATAAAACGGCTTGGAGGGTGACGGAACGCGACCCTATTCCAGAGAAGATCATTCGATTTATAAAGGTGTTTTACCATCATACGGCACAGATCTGTGTAAATGGGGAACTGACAAATTTTATCTTAGATCCACTTTAATCTCAAACGGATAAGTGAAAAACAAAATTACAATCAAGATAATGGCAGCTAGAAATGCGTCCTTCCAATTGGCGAAGCCTTTATGGAGCCATCGCAAAATTCCCAAAGAAATTTCCGTATATAGATGTTATGGCTGACACATTGCCTGTGGACGAGATTATGGAGTTATCTGCCTTTGACCACTCATATCTATGATACATTTTGCGAATTAGTCGAGTAGATTAGATAAAATCTCATATGATTTCATACAAATTCGCTCAAATGCCACATATATTAGCGTTGTTTTCTTTAATTAAGGAACGTTCTTCATCGCCTATCAGAAAAGTTGGCACATATTTCGCTACTTGCCGAAATCTGTGATATTTGGCGCAAAAATCGTGGTGGGCCAATCAAGACCTGGATTGATACGATCAGGGAAGATTTTTGAACGTACAGGTGAACCAGCAATATATGGACTTAGACGATGGAAAAAGGAATGACTTCTATTACTACTAGCGATGGTGTCAGATTGAGCAGCTTGGAAACCTCTTATCCTTGTTGCCAATGAAGACAGGTTAACCAGTAATGGTGCTAGAAGAAGAAGACTTGGACTGATAATGTTCTAACAAATCTTAAAAGTCAAGTTAAACGTAATATTAGAAAGTTTTTAGTCGTTTGATAAAAAAAGGCTATCATTTTACAGCAAATTTGGTTGTCATTTCATTTATATTCATTGGATTTCACTTACATCTTGTTTCATAATTTAGTGTTTTTTAAAATGAATTTTATCAAATGATTCCAGAGCCACATTATTTTTCCCTTAAATTTGATGTCCCTAACTTGAATTAATTTATTTAAATTTGCTTTTTTTCGAAGAATATAACAGCAATTTCATTACAATAAATGAATTTTTAATCGTCTTATTCTCTGTTATTTTTTGAACAATTTCCAATATCTCTTTTATTTTATCTCTTTTATTTACTGCTTTACTCGAAAGTATTTCATCAATATTCAATTATTTAACCAAGATAAAAATAACAATTGTATTTTAAGGAAAGCCAGACAAACAAGTATGCCAATTACTGCGAATAATAAATAGGAAAAATGATAATGAGCTCAACAGAAGGGTGTGAAATTGGTTCGGTGCCCTTGCCTGATATTTCAGGGCTAATGTCGACTATAACGAGTTTCAGTCAAAAATACGGTGAATTGCATCCTTATATAGCTTTATTCCTTTGTATCACAGGTAAATCATTTTTAATTAAGTATAAATTCCTAAAAGACAAAAAATTATCAAAAAAAGAATAAAAGACATGAAAATTGAATTAGGAAAATAATTAAGTGAATTTAATAAAATTTAAGTTTGCGCGTAAATTAAGAAGCGTTTGTATCAAAAATTTAATTAAGAAATTGCCTACTCTCTCTCTTTTCCCCATCCCCTCCTCTCATCCCTATATCCTCAGTTAATACCGTTTTCCTTCAACATACCGCTTGGAATTTCGTCAAACTTCGTTGTATTCCATTGCAACCTTTTCAAGCGATATAGCAATATTTTCATCCCCATTAAATTCGCTTAATGCCTTCAAATTTCCTTTATTATGCTTCATTAACCAGTTCCCATCATATTTCTTCAACATCTCCTTCCTTTAATTCAATGTCCTATGAATAGACATATCGTAATTTAAAGATATTACAATACATATAGTTTCATAATTATAATTACAAACGGTAATATTAAGAAAAAATAGCTGTACCTAAAAATATCTAAAGTAAATACCTACCTTCACTGGCAGAAAAAAAAGAAAAGCCTTTTTTAAAAGAATAATAAATTATAATGAAATCGGAATAATTCATCATATAAAGTGAGGATGAGTCTGATACAACACATTCATGAATTTATTGAGCGATTCTCGGTACATCATTGAAACTGTCATGAATGATGCTGATTTGCCTTTCTTCTTTCCTGTTGATTTTCCTTCTTTGCCTTCAAATAAATTGTAAATAAAAATATAAAACAAGAAGGCAAATAAAAATATTTTAACGGAGTTCAGCTGGGTTTTAAGGCATTATAGCCACAGGCCTATGGATATCAAGACTTTATTTCATGCTTCAGGTTGAAGTGGTGCTAAGACTCCAGAATAGCGCATAACGTTTAAATTGATATTGATAATATACAAAGCGATTTAAAGGCCGGCAATAATACGTTATTAGTGGATTTTTTAAGAAGTTGACAGGATTAAATAAGGATTAGGAGAACGTTAGATGTAAAGAAAAGAAAAGTGCACATTGCTGCTTAGTTCCAAAGAGTTTCGCTTTTTATGGCAGCACAAAGTGAATCTGACAAGCCTTTCCAAAGACCGTTTGTTGGCTCAAAGGGTATAGTGGGTTTTAGAAGAGTGTTTGGTATAGTGAGCGAGGGATTTCTAGGATTGCAATAAGATTAAGAGAAAGGGTTTCGCAGTTACCTGCACTTTTTTTCCGAATACACATAGCATTGTAAATATTTCTGTTAAGGTTGCAAGGCACTAAACTTCGTTTAATATGAACTTCAGGTAAAAAATCAAAAAATCGAAAATTTTAATTTTAATAATTTATTTATTAATAATTAATTTTAAAATTTTAATAATTTTCAAGATTTCCTTAGCAAATCCAGATTTATTTTGCAAACATTTAATGATTGATCATAGTTAATGCATTTTCATAATTTTTAGAAAATTTTTGACAAGCGCAGTTGCCTTTTAAGATCTTTTATACTGTATTGATAGCAAAATGATTTTATCTAAAAATATCTTTTTTTTAAAAGAATATTCTACCTTTCTCTTTAATCAATCATGTTTTAATGTATTTATCATATATTTCACTGGATTCTTACTCTAAAATTTTCCTCACTGAATGGATTTAACAACTAACTATTGTTCTATCATAGTTACTTCTTCATTTATCATACAAGTAGTTTCAGGAATAATATTGAATCTAATAACAGTAATAGTGTTAAGTCGACGTACGATGTTATCACCAGTAAATATATTATTATGTTCAATAGCAATATGTGACGGTATTGTTATGATGTCGTACTTAATATTTGTGGCGCATTTCTTAATAAAAGCAGCGAGTCGCTGTGAGTCCAGCGATTACAATTATCACTGGGCTGTATTTACTTTATTTCATGCTCATGCTTCGGTTATTTTTCATTCAACAAGTATATGGCTCACTGTTAGTTTCATATTTATGTTTTTTCAAAAAAAAAACTTTTTTAAATAATTCGTTATAATCTACCGTAAGCAGATCATAGTTTATGCCAAAGGATAGTCGATCTTATTGGATATTTCATCGGATTCTTATTAAAATTTTCCCTGCTGAATGAATTCATGCAAACGAAAACTTAGAGTTTCTCTATTATTTCAAATTGTATACCTGTTAAAACTAGATATTTTATTTCTAAGTGCAATGCTTAAATTTTAATTTTTGAGACTTTTTTATTTTGAGTTTTGAGATGTTGAGTTTAATAATTATGGAAAATTTTCGCCACACGAAGTTATTTGTTAGCTGAAACAATAAAAGATGCATAAAGCTAAGATAGAATTGATTGAAGTTAAAATTTTTTTCGCAAATTCAATTTAATTATGAGCTATTCCAATTGGAATTTGAAAATTAATGACGATTCAGCGAAACGTAAGTACATTATCTTTTTTTTTCATAGTTCATCTCTGCGATGCTTTTGTTTTTAAGACTCTATGCGAGAGAGACAACAGTCTTCCAACATTTATATATTTTAATGTATCTAATAAACCTAAGTAAAATATCTTTATCATGGAACAGAAAATTTTACTTAACTTCATTTTGTTATTGCTTTTTTATTGGTTTGAAAAAAATATGAAATTTCAGGTATCGTTGGCACAAATTCGTGTTTTAATGATACGGCGCGTGACAGTGACTAATGGCTCTATTATAACAATTTATTCAACGATTTTGCTAAGCTTTATTACATGTATTGTCATGACATTTGTTAATGTGCCAAATTTTCTCACATTTCAGGTTTGTTTCCTTTCTTTTTCTTTTTCAAACTTTCGCATAATTTTTGATAATTGGTATCATTCTATTGCAGAAAGCCAAATAAATAATTTTGGCAGAAACTTTTAATAATTCTTGATTTCTTTTTTCGATGTTTCAGCAACCATATAGTCATCGAAATTTCATCCATTCATTTATGAATTATGAATTCACTTTTACGGAAATTTCGCTACTGAGGATTAGATTTTGCACTTTTGAAAGAAAGAAATGAAGTAGATCAAAAGCGAAAAAAAAGAAATAAGCGAGAAATTAATGATGTTAAAACTTAAGCCTTCATTGAAAAAGCTACACCTTTGGTTTATATGTAGCGGAATTTAGGCTCCCTAAAATCTCAGTGAGAAAAATGAAAGTAAAAGAAAACGAAAAAACAAAATGCTAAATAACACATCTTCATAGCAATAGTGATAAGGCCATTTTCGCTTAGGCGGAAAGCTCTATCTCTCTGACTCTTCTATCTATTTGCTCTCCCACCTCCTTATTCTCTCCAAAGACAAATGAGGATTATAATCGAAAAGCACCGACATTTTATTATTTTTTTTGTGGTTTGCTCATTTCTTTCATACATATATATATATATATATATATATATATATAAATTTTTTGATACAGTTTACTATTTTTAAAGCAAAATGATCATATCAAATGAAACATACTTTGTATTAACCAGTCTTTAGGCATTTTTAGATCGTTGAAACACCATCAGTGGATTTTTTACCATGTTTAATTCCACAAGATGAAGGAAGTTATAATTCATCAGGCATTGAGAATTCTTTAATTAATGCGTCAACACTCTCTAATGCTGATCGATACATTTATGTTGTTCTGGCTACTGGAAATGACTGTATGAAACTGAAAGTATGTAAATCTAATCATAAATTATGTTTAATTTTTTTTTATGTCGGTTATCTTTTTCTGATGCTATCTCAACTCATGGGTTAGAGCTACAATCAAAATTTCTTTCGAAAGTTGAAGTTGTTATCATCTTTAATCCCTGCTTGAACCAATTTTGTTTTGAAAAGAATCATCTTTTTTACACGATGATTATGAATTGTTCGCAAAACTTCAACATACAGTAGAAGAATTTAGAAATTCGAAAAAACTTCGCTTCCGGAATCGAGGCATTTAAAATTTAATTTCTTCCAGAAGATTGAAATAACTAAAATAAAGCAATATTCGCTAGAACCATAATTCATCTTTAATAATGTTAAAATAATAATGTTTTTCATCTTTTTTAACTAATGGCTAGTTTCGAAAGTTGATGCCAGCCTACTGAGAAAAATTTCCATTTCCAATTCCAAACTTTTCATTCTTACTTAATTATTTGATTTGAATTTCTATAATTTGATTTTTTAAAAATTAAATTGAGCAAAATTAAATTGAGCTTCTTCTTTGAAATATATCTAAAATTTGATTGAATTAACGCAAATTTAGCTCGCATTTTGGTCAAATGGAATGCTGTGCAAGGTAGTACCATGTTTTTTATTAACTATATCAATCATCATTTTGCTGAAAATTATTGCTGAAGTTGCACATCGAAGAAAGATACTTGCGCAGGTAATTTTAATTTTAAAACATTTTTGATTTGCTTATAATAAATTCCCAAGTCAGTTACGGTTTTATGTATTTCTTTTTTATCTTTTAACAGCACATAAATTTTTTTGCTTGGCTGGCTGTATTGACCTCTTGACCTCTTTAAAGGTTTTTTATCTGCATTTTTTTCATGATTATATTTGTATTTCAAACTCATTATTTCCAATTCAATCTGAATTGCCATAACCATTCCAATCATGAAACCACTCACACAACCCTTTCCAGTAGTTGTTTTAACGCTTTTTTTTTCACCATAATAATTTTTCACATAATAATCAACGGTTTCAGTTCATACAGGTAAGTTAAAAATTAAATTCTAGGTACTTAAAAAAAAGATGCCAAAAGATCATATGACTCCAATGTTGGTGGCTGTTTTATCAATTTTCCTCATTGCTGAATTGCCTCAAGGTATAATGCTTGTTCTAACGGGTATTTATTCTAAAGACTCTTTTCATCAAAAGGTTATTTTTCTCTGCAATAAATTATTTTGCCAAGTATATTAGAAGGAATGAAGGAAACAATTCTGAGCACAATTCTTTTTCCTTCTTAATCATCGCAAACAACTTTGATAGCTCCATATTGTTGAATTTATCTTCTGTACAACTGAGAAGATCTGAGATGGTGACTCGAAATGAAAATTAATTGAATTAAAATGCATAAATCTTGGTTCTCATAGAATTTCATTCTCTATGCTTTTGCCTCGCATCCTGAATTCAATGTAAAAGAAAGATAAAACCCATTGCACTTAATATAAAAACGAGGATTAAAGCTTATATTTTTACCTCTTTTGTCTTTCTCGTTCGATATTTGCAAAAGTCAAAAAACTCCTAATTTTCTATTCACAAGAATATTGCTGGAAACGTGATTTCGTTTCCAATATCAAGAACGAATTATTTTGAATATTGTGAATAATAAAAGTTATTCAATACTTCAGATATATTTGCCCTTGGGCGATTTTATGGATCTCTTATCCTTAATTAATTCGGCTGTAAATTTTCTTATCTATTGCGTGATGAGCAAAAAATTTCGAGTCGTTTTTTACGAACTAATTTTCTCTTATCAACCGTCAAGGTCAATTTCTCTTTTTTTTTTCTTTTCTTTATTACATATGAATACGTTAAATGCCATAGATTTGTCTTCATTCTGTTCATTAATCTCTGCGAGCAATACGAAAATTTTTCTTCCCCAACTATAAAAAACTAATATTAAAAATTTACAGGATCGCTGAATATTACAGGAAATGCAAAATTAAAAACGGTGGTATTCCAATAAATAGACAGCGAGTGGACGTTACCAGAACTGAACAAGTCAGCTGGGAAAATTTTATTTTCCATAATAACTTATTTTGCAGTTTCTCGATTTTGAAATCTTTTTTCTCTTTTTTCTAAGAGTTCTCATCATTGTTAGCCACTCACTCCGTTGGATTATCGTCAAATTTTGCCATGGCAATAAAAGTGAATTGTGTCAGCATTATCCGATTGATTTTGATGCTGAATCTTGACTGAACTGAATTAAAATTCCTTCAAATCTGCATAAATAACATAACCATACGATAAATATAAGTTTCAAATATAATATTAATGTTAAATATTAATGCAGAATTTTTAATTTTTAAAGGAGTTGTTCACAATTCAATTTTTTTTTTTATTTGGCCGGAGCTTTATTTAAACTTGTCATTATAGCAAGAATGGTTGAGTGGTTCCTGCGGACCCACCTATAACTATATCACAAGTGACTTTATGGTGAAAGATTTTCTTGATATGGCGTCCGACTCCCATGATATTCCCAGTCTAGTGGTGCAATAAGTACCTCTCAAGGCTTGCGAATATGGTCTGCTCTAGAGCCAGGATAATTGCTCGAGACCTATTAAGAGAAACAGCTCTGTGTTCACTGCCAGGTGTTAGCCGTAGCAGCGTCAGAAACGTCAGAATGGTTATGGACGTTGCAAGCCAAGCAATCATTGTCCACACTCTTTCTAAATATCATGTGGATATCGCCTGTTTGTCGGAGATCCTTCCTCACTTCGGACTTCGTGTAATTGCAAAACCTGGTTCTGAGCAGAGATACTGGTTTTACTACTGTGGTGTTTCGGATAACTCGTGGTGAGTTGTGTCTGAAAAAAATCAACTTGCTTTGATTGAATGGAAGCCAATAAAGAAACTTCAAAGGGAAGTTGTGAAATATAATTTACTCATCAGTGTATATGCTCCAACTCTGTGCGTATATGATCGTGATAAGGATAAGTTCTTTGCGGAACTCCAATTACTAACAATATCTCCACCGAAACATGACATGCTCATAATCGGGGAAGACTGGAATGCACACGCCATGATGCCACTGCGATGAACTCGACAATTGGCAAATGTGGCATCGAAGTCCGGTGCGCCAATGGGGAGCGCCTTTTTCGTTATTGAAAGCATGAATTTTTGTTACTCATGCTTGCTTCCTGCATGTGGAACTCCCCGAATAATCAACCCTTCAACTAGATTGGTTATATCTCAGTCAGTTGGAAGAATTCCAAGTGACGTGCCATATGGTCGTTCCTATCGCGATTATGAAACGACCAATTCTCATGGATCTGACCATGTTGTTGCTCGAGCCAAGATCCGCATAAAATTGCCAACTCGCAAGAAACAGCATTCCCCAAGATTTTTCACAAACTAAAAAATTCAGGGACAGTGAGCGCATTTCAAACCGAATTATGAAAGTACCTCAGTTAAAAAAACATTAGTGACATCTCTGGAATGACGTATGAATACTTCTGAAACCATTTCCACGCTAGCATAAGCTAATGCTCTAGTTGGGTGTCGGAAGCACAACTGTCCAGTTGTCTGAAAAGGCTGCCGATGCTTCGAAGATTTACAAAGACTGCAGCATGGCGGGACAAAAATCGCTATTGGAGCGATATGGCTTTGGAAATGATGATGACGGGCGACAATAGGAATAGGGCGACTATTCCGTCTTCTTCAAAAAGCAACTGTAACTCAACGAACGGTCAGTGAAATGGTACGGGATAGCAATGATGTGCCTGTTAAAGCTGTCAAGAATCGCCTATTAAGATGAAAGGAATCCTTTGACGCCAAACTTAACCATGATGCGCCATCTGTTGACCAAGACATAGCTGATTTACTTGTCAAGCCATATGTTTGCAACGGCAAACCGCCAATAGAACATCATATAATTTCCGTCATCCAGAAACTTAAGGCCAATAAAGCTTCCGAAAATGGTCTTCGAGTTAAACTCTTCAAATGTTGTATGACCATCGTCATTCATAACACACCTTCAACGATGTACTCTCTGGTATGGAAAAAATGATACTAGATGACTGGAACAAAACAATTTTGTTCCCAGTTCTTAAAAAAAGTGACAGGATATACTATAACAATTATCGAGGAGTCAACTTACTAACATCTCCCGGAAAATTTTTTGCTTCACTAGTGTTGAATAAGCTTCTGGCAGTACGAGGCAATATATGGTTAGGATACATCCTAACCAAGTTGGAGCGTACATCGGCACATATTTGTGTGTATGGGAATGACCCTTTCGAAATAAGAACTGTTATCCGTCAAGATGGTGTGCCTTCTCCTATAATATTCAACTGTGGGACTGGATAATGGACATCGCTTGTCAGCATTCAAGAGATGTACAAATCAATACAGTGCATAGTATCGCAGATCATCAATACGTTGATGATATAGTCCTTTTTACTGATAGTTATGACGAAATGCAAATAATGCTAAACAATATGTCAACAATCGCAGCGATAATGGGGCTCAGGGTCAATATTAATAAAACTAAAGTCTTTTCGACTTATTGACAAGAAGCTGATAAAATGCTTGTTTTCATCAATTCATTACCGGTTGAGGAAGTACTCGGTTTTAAATATCTTGAAATCACCTAAATCCCAAATGGACGGGCAAAAGACGAAATTACAATCCGGATAATAGCAACTAGAAATGCTTTCTTCCGGTTGATGAAACCTTTATGAACTCATCGCGAAATCACTACAAAAACGAAAATCCGCATCTATATAGCCGTGATCCGTTCGATCTTGCTATTTGGCTGCGAGACGTAGCGAATGAGAGTAGAGGATATTAAAAAGTTATCTTCCTCCGAGCACTCAAAATGCAATTTTACGAGTCCGCCAAGCGGGTAAAGCCTCATATGATTGCATATATCTTCGCTCAAATATCCATTCCTTCCATTAAAATATCATCATAGGAAGTTGTCTTCGCTGGTTAGAGTACGTTCTTCGTATATTTCGTTCTAAAGCCTGTGACAAATACCGTCAAAAACGAGATAAATGAATAGTAAAGACCTGGGCTGATACAGTCAGGAAAGTCAAAATTTTGAATATATAGGTGGACCGGCGATATATGGACTTAGACTATGGAAAAAGGGATGGCTTCTATTACTACTAGTTATGGAGCCAGACCGCATAGGTTGGAAATATCTTAACTCTGCAGCCAGCAGAGCGGACCAGTAATGCTGAAAGCTGATAGAAGGATTAATTAAATTTGCCTTTTTTTTAAACCATAAGCAATAAAAATCTGCAGTTTTAGATACAAGTATCTAATATTCATCGTCGAAGTGCTGTTGCTATTTTATTCAATGTTTCTATGAAAGATCTTTCGAGAAAATATGAACACAGTGATTATGATGGGGCAAAATATTCTGCCCAGTCCTTATTAAATGCTTCTAATGTAAAACAAGAGAATGAACTATTGACGAATGGAGGGTTCGACTTCTAAATGTTTTCTTGCAAAAAAGGCCATATTTGTTTAATAACGCAGATCCTTCAGTTCAGTTTTGTGAATATCCTCAGGTGTAAAATGTATCATATTTCTATTTCATCTCAATCTACATTGTAATCCATTTTACAGAAAGATCGATAAATATTTTTTTCACCAGCCTTTCCATATTCTTTCATGTTTTTTACTTAAATATTGAGATGAATACTCACACGAAAAATTTCTTTTCCTTTCATTTTATTTTGTCACATTCTTTAAGCAAATCGTAATAGATAGCTCTCTTACAAAATTTTTAATTTTTTTCAAAATAATGAAAGAATTTCGTTTAATTCACATTTTCAAGTATCATGCTGAAATTCCAGATTATCTGAGATGAATCCATCTGTTGGCAGGAAAGATACTGATGTGCATTTATCAAGCGAAAATGATGTTTTTATACGGGTATCAACGCTATCAAATAAAAGGAGAATTGAAGAAGAAAATAACGAAGTTGGTAAATAATTTGTTCATTCAAAAAATCTTTTTTTAAGCAATAAAACATCGTTTGCGATAGTTTCTTGAAAAAAACGAAAAAGATCTTATCTCTGCATCAGTTTTTTAGGAGTAAGCGATTTCGTACAAATCTTATAATTACTCTAAGAAAAAAATTCAAACATTCATCAAACACAGATCTGTGTCCTGTTAATTCAAATGTATCTGACCCTTTCACCATAAAGACACTTGGGTGAGTTACAGGTGGGTCGCCAGCAGCCACCCGGATTTTTGACATAATAGCAGGTTTATTCCTGTCAAAGACAAAAAAAAAAAATTAAATTTGAAGAAAATAGACAATGAAACTTTAAAAAAATAAAAAGGCAATTAAATTTAAAAAAAAATATAACTATATATAAAATATATGCATATATATTATTTATACAATTTAATTGATTTGATTTATAATTTATTTAATTTAACTGATTGATTTAATTTTAATTTATTTATTTTAATCGTTGTTTGGTAAAAAAAAATTAAAAGTTTAAGAAGACTTAGCTGAATTGTAATCAGAAATGAAAAAATAAATTCAGAAATAAATCGACAATGTTTTTTGAAACGACCGCTCAGCAAAAGAATTTTTTTTTCATTCAAATATCATGCTGAGCATACGTCAGTGCAGATATGTATATATGGGGAGCTGACAGATTCCTTCGAAATAAGAACAGGTTACTGTCAGGGCGTCCTTTCCCCATATTTAACTATGTGATAGACTGGATAATGGACACCGCTTGTCGGCACTCAAGAGGTTTCCGAATTAGTCCACAGTATCGTATCATAGATCTTGAATACGCTGATGATGTAGTCCTTTTTGCTGATAGTTATAACGAAATGCAAATTATGCTAAATAACGTGTCAGAAACTGAAGCAAGAATCGGACTCAGGATCAATGTAAATAAAACGAAAGTCTTATGTGCAAGAAGCTGATAAAATGCCTCTTTTTGTAAATTCATTGCCGGTTGAGGAAGTGCCTGATTTCAAATACCTTGAATCCACTCTAATACCAAATGGACAGGCAAAAGATGATATTATAAATCGGATCACGGAAAGCAAAGCTAGAAATGCATTCTTCTATTGATGAAACGTTTATGGAATCGTCGTGAAATCACCATAGAAACAAAAGTCTGCATCTATATTGCCCTGATCCTTCGATCTTATTATATGATTCTGAGACGGCCAATGAGAGTGGAGGATATTAAGAAGTTATCTGCCTTTGACCACTCTTGTCTAAGGTACATATTACGGATCCGTCGAGCGGATAAGATATCACATGATCGCATCCATCTTCGTTCAAATACCACTTGCATAAATAATGTAATGTTATCACAGAGCGCCGCTTTCGCTGGTTATGGCACATTCTCCGTCATCCACCACAGGAGTTGACGCATATTTCGTTATTTGCAAAACCGTGTGATGGTTGCAATCAAAAACGAGATAGGCCATTAAAGACCTGGACTGATACGGTGAAAAAAGATTTTGAACGTATAGGTGGACGCAATATATAGACTTAGACGATGGAAAAACGAATGGCTTCCATTACTGTCGACGATGGCATCAGCCACGCCGCTTAGAAGCGTCTTACCCTTGTAGCCGTTGGAGCCAGCCTAACCAGTAATGGTGAGAGCTGTTGGAAGAAGAAGAAGTCCTGCCAATTCCTGTTAATTCATTTATATATGGATGGTTTCATTTAATTAAACTGCAGTTAACAGTTTCATTTGCATTTAATAGATAATAAATAATGAATCAGATAATAGATAATAGATTCGGATAGCAAACCTACAAAGCTTCAACACACGTTACTAAACAAATATTCTAACGAATATGGACTTAGAAAACTTCCAGTGAATATGGCCATTTTTAATTTTAATTCTCGGTAGAGAATACCAATTTCATTTCTTCTATTTCATTTATTTAATTTGACCGCTTTATTTTATTTATTTCCGTCGTTGATTTGGTCAAATTAAAATGATATCAGCTTCTTTCTTTTAAGCTTAGCATGACTTAGCACCACTGCTAAAATAAATTGCAAACTTTGTTTTCCTATATCTTAAAATTTTCACTATATGGAAATATCATATTAATATTGTATAATACAAAAGATTTAAACAAAAATCAAAAATAATAAAGCCATAATGCATCTTCCCAGAGAAAATTGGCAAACCGGAGATGTATGGTGGAAATGAATTCGGTGAACAAAATAAAGCAATTGTTACGCCACGACATTCGCCTTATCGACAATAACACATTTACTAGACGACATAGCTCCGGATTACAGTCAGAAAACGAAAATTCTTCGGCTAGGTGACTCTCAGTCCTTAATTATTTATCTCTGATATCGTTATTATAGCATGAAATTTCACCTTCTTCTTTATCTTCTAGCTCCCCTAACAACTGTATTCATTTCCTAAGATTTGATGTTAGTGCCAGACTTCGTTGAATGATTGGCTTTGACAAATGCTAGTTTCTGCTTAGAATCGCGTAAAATTATTTTATAAAATTATATATATAAAATTATTTTATCAAGAAACATCAATAAATTCGAAAATTTTGCTAATTACTCCGAACATAATCTTTACATTGCAAAAATTGATATTTTTTTTATAGCAAAAATATTGCCGACAGAAATCTTTTCCACTTTTTTAAAACGTCCTTTCTTTATGCTTTAAATCTATTTTCATTTTCTAAAAGTTCTTTTAGTTAAATGTTTTTTTCAACGACGAATTTACAACAAAGAAAAAATTTAGAATTTATAATAATAAAATATATATAATAAAATAATTTATTTTTATTATCTATTATAAAATAAAAAAATCGAAATAATCGAAAAACAATAAATTGGTGGTTTTTAAATACTAAATGGAGCATAGCAAATTTTGAAAGCATCAAGCATCATATTAGATCTTTAATTATATGAACACTGAGTTCAAAAATGCAAAAACTGTGGACATTTTCCACATGGAAAATTTATTTCGAAATGATAACAAATTGGGCATGGTAATGTTCAGAAATGTTAAAACAGAAACAATGAAAGCAGGTAAAAAAGTAGGTAGGACAATATGATTTCCATGGTTAATACTAAAAGCAAAATTATATATATATATATATATATATATATAAATATTGCTTCATTATCATCGATACAACCACGAATGATTTTGTTATGATGAGCAGAAATATAATATGGAAAGATAAAGCTACCATTATTTCAAAAAAAATATTTTCGAAAAACTGAAATGAGTCTACTTGATCTATTTTGATTTAACAAATAATTGTTTCAACTTCTTCGCAGTGCTGGGCAGTAGAAAAATAAAGTGGACAATATGCACACGAAAGAATGTCTCCTATAAGGTATATCAAGAGGAATAAATAAAAACAAGTGCAATACGATTTATCATAAGTTTTTAAGCGAAAGACAAATTTTTCGTAAATCGTTTTGTTCTCGAACGATCTTGACTGGCTTTTAATATATCAACAAATTTGGTTGTTTTAAACTATTTATCTAAATTTTTGGACATCGTTTTCCCATTTGTATTTCGCCCGAATCATCAACATATTTTTCAAAAAAAATTATTGGAGGTAATTGAATTCATTTCGGTTTTAACAAGTCGAAAAGTTAAAAAAATAAAAAATTGAAAATCTATGAAAAAAGCATCAACAATATTGGAATCACTAGTTATCAAAACAAGGACAAAAACATTTTTATCTCGAACTTTCTGAAATCTCACAGAAAAATTTTCAGGACGGATAAGCTAATTAAATAAATGAGGTTTTGTGAAAGCGTAGGACTTAAAGCTTTTATCATCCAGTTGAATTTATAAGGAATTTAATTAGGTGGCGACAAAATTCTTTACTTATAAGCTAAAAAATTAACCATTCCATTTTGTTTCTATTCTTATGCAGTTTTGCAAATTGTTTTTTTTTTTTTTTTAAATGCATAAATATACGATGCTCTATTATACCAAATTTAAACGAAACGAAACGAAAAATAATGAGAGCTTTTTCTAGAGAATAGTGGTAGCCTGATAAACCTTTTTAAATGCAGAAAATATGTGCCTATAAAAAATAATAAGAGGTCACAGCGAGGCAATGTTAGGAATTTTAAAAACACTGCACAATAAACCAACAATTTTTCCCAAATAAGAAAGTTTGATATATATGCAAGAATATAAAAAATTTGAAAATTGGGCAAATAAGTAGCTGAAAAATAATCGAAAATTCTTTCCATGGCTTCAAAAAATAAGAAATAAAACTAGAAGGGTGGTGGACCATTTACATATTCCAAATGTATACCTATGGCATTGCGCCAGTTGTTGATGACATGCCCATTGTCTATGGATGTCATCCAAGTAATAAGAACAGTCAACATACCAATAAGCATTAACAATGCTTTCAATGGCCAATCTATGATACTTTTCTGTACCACTTCAGTTTCTCTAATGCTCTTGATTTCTGGTATATTATGCACATATCGTCGTTTTCGAACCAATTCTTCCTTGGGAGTTGATGTTGACTTATTTGACAGTGATAATGACTTCAAACGTAATGTTTCTTCAAATCTAAAAGAAACTTTACTTTCTAGGCAAGAAAACAGATATCCACGAGGTAGACAAGACATTTAGAACCAAGAATAGCAAAAAAAAACCTCGCCACACCAGAAACTTCCTCAACAAAAATATGCATAAGTTAAACGGACGATAATGAACTGATACTATGCCAAAAAGTTACGGATTAACACGAGCAAAACACCAGAAAAAACAAAGAATAAACACCTTGTTCTAAGCTGAATAAGGGCATTAGAATAAATCGTTAACTCGGATGCGAAATCGAAAACAGTTGAAGATGGTAACGACTGATCATGAAGTATGGATAAACTGGATGTCAAATAATTGCAAACGGTTTCAAGACGATTCATACGTTCTTGGCAAAATTCGAGTTCCGAACAAATTTGCTAAAAAGTTTATAATTCTTTCAAGGATATAAAAGATATGAAATGAAAGGAATTATTTTATAGATTATAGGTATAAAAATATTTCCGAAAAAATGAAGCAAACTTTCGAATTATTTTCTCCTTTCTTTAATTCGGATAATTCCTTGACGATTCCAACCATGATACACTGTAAATTGCGTTGTGTTTCATCCCAATCTTTCCAATTTTCATGAATTTTTTCAGTTTCTTTCATCAAGAATTCAACTCTTTCAATTGTTTCTTCATATGCTCGGGTAACATTTTCGAATTCAGTGAATATACTTGAGAGACCATCTGATTGAAGCGCTTGATTAGACTGCAGAACGTGTTCTAATTGTTCACGTCCTTCTATCAGTTCTTTATGGATTTCCTGAAATTTTTTGTGAATGCAAAATAATATGAATGTGAATACAACAATTTTTTGCGACGATATCGAAGATAAGCAAATGCTATGAATCGCTGGTTATGTTCCTATAAAATTAATAAAAAAATACTAAGAATACCTTAAGAAATCATTTTCAACCACAAAATTATTTTAATATGATAAGGATATGATAAGGATAAATTTTGTGGAACTTCAATTGCTAATAACTTCTCTAAAAATGACATGATCATAATCTAAGGATACTGGAATGCAAGCACAGGTTATGATACCACGACGACGAACTCCATGATTGGCATATTGGATTAGTGGAAGGTCTTCTTCGCACTGCCGAAGGTCATGAACTTTTTGTTACTTGCTTTCGGCATCGTAGAAAACATCTAATAACGTGAAACTCGCTGGACAACAAACACTTCAACCAAGTTGATTATATCTTAGTCAGTCGCCGTTGGAAAAGTTCCGTACTAGATAGTCGTTCCTATCGCGGGGAAATCTTTATGGATCTGACCATGTTATGGTCCGAGCTAAGATCCGCATAAAAACAATTCGCAGAAAGCAGCATCCCCCAAGATCCTTCAACTATCTCAAACCAAAAAATTCAGGGACAGTGAGCGCATTTCAAACTGAATTATTAAGGCATCTCAGTGATACAAATATCAATGATTTTTCTGGAACGGCAAATGAATACTGGTCCAAACTAAAAGAATTTCTCCGAAAGTCAGCCACTTCCACGCTAGGGCATAATAGTAGAAGGTGTGCTAGTTGGGTATCGGAGCCAAAATGTCTGAAAACACTGCCAAAACAAGAATGTCAGGTAATCCTGACTACCGGATGGTTCGAAGATTTGCAACGAAAGCAAACAGCAGGATAAAAATCACTATTGGAGTGACATGACCTCAAGAATGGAGCTGACAACTCTATTAGGCGATGATAAGAAACTATACCGCCTTCTTCATAAAGCAACTATGACTCGGGGAACGATCAGTGAAATGGTAAGGGAAAGCAATGGTGGGCCTGTATTAAGGATCGCCTCATAAAATGAAAGGAATTTTTTGAGGCCAAACTTAACCATGCACCATCTGTTGCATGCCCCTGATATAACTGATACGTTCGTTGAACCATATGCTTGCAATTGCGAGTCCCCGATAGAAGAAGAAATAATATCTGTTATCCATAAGCTTAAGGCCAATAAAACTCCAGGAGAAGATAGTCTTCGGACTCAATTCTTCAAATGTTGTCCATCGTCCTTCATAACGCACCTTCAACAAATACATTCTGGTATGGAAGAAAAAAATATTACCAGATAGTAAAACAATTCTGCTTCCAATTCCCAAGAAAGATGACAGGATGAATTGCGACAATTATCAAAGAATCAGCCTACTAGACGTATCAGCGAAAATTTTCGCTTCCATTTTACTCAATAGGCTTATGGGAGCAGAGAATGCAGGATGCGCCTTAATCAAGCTGGATTCAGACTGAGGTGCGGTTGTTGCTGACCAGATATTCACGTTAAGAAGGGTGTTAGAACATCACAAGAATTCAGATATTTGCAACCCACTGTCACGTGTTTCATCGACTTCGCGGCTGCCTTTGATTCAATTGATAGAGCGATGCTTTGGATGATACTGGAACGTGACGGTGTTCCAAAGAAAATCATTCGACTCATAAAGGCATTTTATGAGCGCACGTCGGCGCAAGTCTGTGTATATGGGGAAATGACAGACTCCTTCGAAATAAGAACTGGTGTCTGTCAAGGTTGCGTTCTTCCCCCTACAATATTCAACTATGCGGTAGATAATGGACACCGCTTATCGGCATTCAAGGGGTATTCAAATCAGTCCAGAGCATCGTATCACAGATCTTGAATACGTTGATGATGTAGTCCTTTTTGCTGTAATGAAATACAAGTAATATTAAATAACGTGTCAGAAACTGCAGCAAGAATCGGACTCAAGATCAATGTAAATAAAACGAAAGTCTTTTTGTCTTATGTGCAAGAAGCTGATAAAATGCCTCTTTTTGTAAATTCATTGCCGGTTGAGGAAATGCCCGATTTCAAATACCTTGGGTCCAATCTAATATCAAATGGACGGGCAAAAGATGATATTACAACTCGGATCACGGCAGCTAGAAATGCGTTCTTCTGGTTGATGAAACCTTTATGAAGTCGTCGTGAAATCACCATAAAAACGAAAGTCCGCATCTATATAGCCGTGATCCGTTCGATCTTGTAATGTAGAGGATATTAAGCGGTTATATGCATTTGAACACATCATATATACATCATATATAAGGTATTTTATGCGTTCACCGAGTGGATAACATCTTACATGATCGCATCCACCTTCCCTCAAATACCACTTGCACTAACAGTTCCACCACAGAGCGTCGTCTTAGCTGATTAGGACAAATTCTTCGTCGCCCACCATAAAAGTTGACAAATATTTCATTAATCGCTAAACCCTGTGATGCATAGGCTTATCAAAGTCAGGGAAAATTTGAATGTGTAGGTGCCCAGCGATATATAGACTTGGACGAAAGAAATGGCTTCTGTTACTGTCTGCGATGGCATTGAAACAGCTTGGAAATGACTTACTCTAGTAGCGAGCGGAACCAGTAATGATAAAAGCTATTAGAAGAAAAATAGGAAACCCATTCAATTAAGTTCTTTCTGGAAAACTGTTAGTTTTAAATTATAATTCTAACCAAATCAAGTTTTTTGTCACCAAATAGGAAAATATGAAATAAGAGAATAAGGACTAACAGCAAAAATTTTTAAAGCTTTTCTAACATCATCTGATGATTTGATACTTGACAGAGATTCATCATTTTGCAAAAGTTGAAAAGAAGGTGTGAAGTGTTCCAAAAGATTTGATGAACTTATCGATGATGTTGAATTGTTGGGAAAAATTTTTTTCAACGAATCTAATGAATCCCTTAAGTTAAAATTTTTATCCATATCGACGATTTGATTTAAACCCTGCAACAAAACATGATTTGAAATTTTTTTTTTAGTGAATTCATCTTCTCTACCAGCGTATTACGAATTATTGAAAATTTATACGCTGCAATTAATAGTTGAAATTTTAAATTTTAAAAAATTTTAAAAATTCTCATATTTAAAAAAAGCTTGGAAATTTTGAACATTTTAATATTACAGTAATGAATGTCTGGGAATGGCCATAGAAAAACGTTTAAAAGCGATTTTAAAAAGATTATGCTGAAAAAATTTTTTACATTATTATTTCGAGGATTGGCAGCGACAATTGCGGTAAGTCGCTCTGAAATAGTCTTTGCTAGCGTTCTTAATTCTTCCTAAAATAAAATAATCCTCGATGTTTTATTTAAAGTCAATATTACTTGGTCATTGATAAAAATAGCTTATATCAGATATTGTTAATAAGACCAATTATACTGATTGAATAACTATAAAAATAACCTTGGCAACCCTCAGTTCACCATCCATTGAATCAGTAGTGACAGAATAATTCTTATCAAACTGCTTTTGTAAATCACGTTCGATAGATTCAAACTTATTAACGCCTTCAAACTCCCATATATCACCAGATTTGACTAGAGGCTAAAAAACGAATATAAAGTTTAATTCTAGCAAGAAAACATTACTTGGTATCGTCATGATTATAATTATAGAATTTTAACAGCATATAATGAAAAAAATGACTGAAATTTCGCGGTTTCTCAAATTTAAAAAATAAATGACTAACATTATATTCATCCCATTCATAAGGTTGACCATCACCGTTTTCCAGTGGCGTTATATCAATGACATTATTATTGCCACACAGTGCCAAAGAATTGGAAATTTGTGGTTCCGGAGCGGAATATGTTGAGACTATAACAATAAAAACTTCAAATATCTAAAGTAACTGAAAAAAACCAAGCAAATTCTTCTAAAATTTCATTAACTTTAAAACTTAAAATTTTCAAAAGAAATCATTGGAAAAATCAAAACTTATATTTACTTAATTACTTACCACTTTTGAATAACTTCATAATAATAAAAAAGTTACAATTAGCATTTGTGAATACAAAGATAAATGATACACGTTAACACGTTAAGAAATGAAGTACAATTCATCAAAAAACCAACTATTCATGAAACATCCAATTTGTTCTGAATCAGACATTGACCTCGGTAATCTTCTGATTTTCAATTTTCGTCTTGTTCGATTTCGTCCATTAATATTAATGCGCTGAGGTGGAAGTGGTGATGGCGGTTTGGTGATGAGATGACCACTAAACTCTGGCTGCAAGTTATATTCTGCAATATTCGTCCTTCAAGTTTATAAACGAGACAAGGATATCTAAATGACGGATAGAAAGAGAAGCAAGAATGCAGGGTTTTTATTAGTCGCCTGCAAATCTATTGCAAGATTTGATCAACAGTTCTTGATTCATTTAATAACTGAATGAACAGAAGTAAACGGCTCTTTCATACAGTAAAATTTTTGATTTGTGCGATTAATACAAATTTTGCAAATTAGAAAAGTAAATTATTATTATAGTTTTCAATTTAATTTGGTCAAAAAAAACGATTCAGTAAAATAACAAACCAAATCACTTACTGACGACAAAATAGCGCCGTTATTTGTGGAACAAGTGGTTACATTACGCGATTTGTGACGACGTTTGAGCGAATTATGAAGCGATGTTTGAGTGGTTGGCGTATTCATTGAATATATTTCAAATGGAAATTCTTCACTCTCTTCACTCGATGCATCACATGAACTCTGAAAATATATTTGAAAAAAAAAATTCTTCCTAAAATCGATGAAATTTACTGTTTTAACACATAAGAAAAATATTTTACCGAGTGCTATAAGCGCCTTCTTCGTAAAAGTCACGGGCGACTGCTTAAATCTCCTAATACTATAGAAGTATTTTCAATTTTTGCATTTCCAAATACAAAATAAAAAATAAGAATATATTTCAAAATCAAGTTAGCACTTAATATTACCCTAAGTCACTTTTTTTTTAAATCAGCTGTTATTGATTTT